ATTTTATAACTTGGAGTTTTTACCTTTGGTCACTTTGACCTGCTTTTCCCTCTGAGTCTTTCTTTTTTAGCTTTTTTTTAGATTTCACATGTAAGTGAAATTATACAGTGTTTGTCTTTCTCTAATTTCACTTAGAGTAGAACTCTCCAGGTCCATCCATTTTATCACAAATGGCACGAGTCCACTCTATTTACAGCTAATATTTTATTATATATGTATATACTATGATGCATATATAAATGAGATATATATGTACATGGTATGTGTATGAGATCCTCTTTATCCTTTATCTGTCAGTGGACACCTAGGTTGCTTCTATATCTTGGCTCTTAGAAGTCTTGCTGCAAAGGACAGAAGAGTGCATGTGTCTTTATGAATTATTGCTTTTATTTCCTTCCGATAAATGCCCAGATGTGGACTTGCTGGGTCATGCAGCAGCTCTGTTTTTGGTTCTCCAAGAACCACCATACTGTTACCATGGTGGCTGCACTGTTTACATTCCCACCAACAGTGCACAAGGAAGCCAGACATTGCTTTTCTTTTTTTTTTTTAGAAAAAATTTTTTTTTTGGGGAAAAGCACAAGCACGTGCACGGACTCCGCCCACCGCGCACAACCAGGGCCTTTTCTTAAAGAAATCACTGGACATTTTGATGCTTTGCTTTTGAGTTAAGGAGATAGACTTGATGATATTTAAGATTTTTTCTAAAAATTTTTACACATCTCTACCTGCAAACAAATGGATTTATGAACTTTTGGTGTACTATGAATTCTACAATTTTCCAAAAGGGAAATGTTTTTCATCCTCGTTTATTAGGAACCATTTTGTGTAGTTGCAGGAAGGTTGTGATTTAAAAATATGTTTAGATTTTCTTGATCCTGATTCATTGAGAACCACTTTCTTAGTTAGCTTGTAGAGAGGTTATGAATTTAAGGATGTGTTTTTAACCATGATTGAGATAGTGACCACAATGTAATGATCAGTTTATTAGCTTAAGAAGCTGCTCATGATGGACTTTGCTATTTCAGTCAATTCCTTAGCCTTGACTATAACATACCACTTTCGTGATACCAATCTAAAGCATTGAAATGCCATGTTTTACGGTTACATCTACACATATGTAATGATTTGATAATTGCTGTTGCTAAGTAACAATTGCTCATCGATTATATAGTTGTGTTCTCATGTATTCACTTACAAAATTAAAAATAAGTCCCCAAGATGTGACACCATTCTCAGTGCAGTGCAGAATAAAATTATAGACTGCATATTAGAGAAAAAATATTTAAAAGAGAAAAGCATCATACACATTTCACTGTTTGCACAATAAGATGTGGGTGTTAAATATCTGTTTAACTATTCAGCCAGCTGAATGTCAAGGTCTCTATTCCTCCAGAATAAAGAAGTTTGGTGAGAATACTTAAAGCCATATTTTTAATTTAACTTTTAGTTTCATTAAACTACCAAAAGACAGGCCACTTTTGAATTAATTGGTCATTAGCTCCACTTAATATCAACCATGTTTTTGTCTGTAAATATGATTATTCATTCACCAGGGTTTCATTTCCTAGGGATCGGGTATCTCAGACAAGAAAGACGTTATTCTGAAGGGTCCCTGCACAGGGAGAGAGATGGTGGCTGTGTGCAGTAGCTGTGGCTCAAGCATTAGCTGAAACTGATGTTTTTTGTTATGAATAAGTCAACCACAACACTACTGATTGCCGTTGTAATTGTAATAGTTGAAACCACATATGTTCCCAAAGGGCCCAATATCTAAGCGCAAAGGTCAGCGTTTGGTAGGCAGGCATGAAATATGCAAGTGCCTTATCTTCATGGGATGACGTTTCCTCCATCTTTCAGGGTCAGTTTTCACAAACTTTCAGAACCAATACCTTGAAAATGCCCCCTGGACCTAAATTATGGAAGCTACCGGCAATTTTTATTTGTGTTGCTTTATTTAAAAGACAGCCGTTGGTGAAGGGGAGTCCCTGAATTCACAATTTCATTTCTTTTTGCAAAATGAATATTTAAATGCAATTATTTTATTTATTTCAGGTCCAAACAAATCTAAAGATAAATGTAAAACACTAAAGGGATGATACTGCACCGAAAGCTCAGCTGTGTAGTGGTTTTGGTTTGTCTTTTAAAAGAATGAAATGTATTTTTCAACATACACATTTTTTTTGCGTGTAGGAACAATATTGTAGACTATTTTAAAAGTTCAGGATTTTAAAATAAACCTTCAATAGCCATGGTCTGTATTATTTAAAGCGATCTAATTTGTACAGAAAGAAAGAAGTCCTTAAAAATGACGATGTCTTCATTTTTGTTTCCAGGTATCTTCTTTAAACTTTTAGCATTTGAGTCTTGTGTTTTATATGGTAAGATTTCCAAACAAATCATACCAAATCATAGTCCAAAGAGGCCATAGTAATGGAACAAGACTCTTAGGTTGGTGGCAGATCCAACAGTGAGCCAAGCACGTGTAAGGCTTGGAATTATCGGCATGGTAGCTGTCACGGGCTCCATGTCTGGCTGTTCCAAGAATGATCCATGGTGTGGGGGACACATGTGCGAGGTCTGTCCAGAGGGTATCCAGCCATGAACCAAGAAAAGTAGAGACAGTTATTTAAGAAGATACAAGATACAAGAAACATTGTACGTAGGACAATGACACCTCAGTCCCCTTCAAAGTAGGCACTTTGGGACCTCACACAGTTCTCCCAGTCTCCATTGGCTGTCTCATGTTTTCCTGAATCTCGTTAATGGTCTCAAATCTCTTCTCTTTCAAAGGGGACTTTAGTTTTGAGAAAAGCCAGAAGTTTCTGGATGCCAAATCTGGGCTATAGGGAGGCTGAGTCCCTGGGGTGATGTTTTGCTAAAAAACTGCACAAGACGTGATGCATGAGTGGGTGTGTTGTCGTGATGAAGCTGCCAGTCACCAGTTGCCCACAGCTGTGGCCTTCTGAATCAGCTGAATAGTTTCCGTATGGAGTGTTCAAGCTTCACAAAAATCTGATGCAGATTCATTGCTCTACTCGCTCAGTCATTTTGAATACGACAGCCACACAGTACACACACTCACTCATTGGTGTTTACCGCCCCCACTAATTAGTACAGTGAAGTCATTGTTTACACATGCACATTCCAGTCCACTCTCCTTGACCGCCAGGTTACATTGCTGTCGCATGAACCATTCTTGTTGTATTAACTGTGGCTGGACTTTTTCTGGACAGACCTCATATATATAGAAAATCCTCAAATGCTTTGTGACATCATCAAAGTCTAGTTCTCATGAAATGCTGTAAGATACTTATTATCCCAATTTTAAGAAGAGGAGAATGAGGTTAAGAAATTAAGTCTTCAAGCTCACCCAGCGAATAAGTTGCAGAGCCAGCATCAGAGCTCCAGTCTTTCTGATTCAAAAACCTCTGCGATTTACCACCGTACAAGGAAGCTGGATGCACCTCTTAGAGGCTGCATTTGTGGTGTTGTGGCCTTTTTCTTAAAAGAAGTAGTCTGGAGGATAATGTTAGCCCAAAGCAGACCTGCAGGTGCCTCACTGCTGAGGCTGTCTGTGTAGTCATCCTCTAGGTCACAGGTGGCAAACACAAGGCCCAAGGGCCGAATCCCACCCTCCACCTTGTTTTATCCGGCCTGGCACCTTGTTTCTGCCCGGCAGCAGTACCGAGCTCCTTGCCCCTAGTTAAGGAATAGTTACATTTACACAGTCCTAAAATTACATTCAGCCCTTTGAAGGCAGCTGCAAGGCTGATGAGGCCCCTGGTGACAATGAATTTGACACCCCTGTCATGGACTAATCCTAGCCATTGGCAATGGTCCCAACCCTCCTACTAAAGGTGGACCTGGAGATATAATAATTACTTAGTATTTAACTTTGTATACTATTTTTCGGTTTTTCCATTTTTTATCAATCGCTCATCCATTTGTGTGTCTTGCTCTCCTATATTTCCCACTGATTCCTTGTCGCAGGATAAGGACAGTTTTAGCTGTCACTCCCTTCGTCACTCACCCTCACCCTCACCCCACACCCTCCTCCCGGGAGAAGAGAAACCGGAATCCTTTTGTTCTCCTCATTTTCCTCCTCACCACTCGTGGATCTGATGGAGTTTTTACAACGTAACTATAACAGATGACGTCTCATCCTCTGAGAAAAATGTCTTGGTTATATGCTAGCTAAATGGATGGGCAGATTTTTTTCCATGACTTAATTTTGTGACCCAGCTGAGGAAACTCTCAGTTTTATTAGCAGCTGTCTTCTCTTCTCTTATCAGATATTCAGCTTTTAGCACCTAGCTCAAAAGAGAAAACACAGGGTTTGAAGTTATTATTTAGACTTCACAAATCCTTCCAAACAATTTTTCTTAGGTAGGGAAACAGATAAGTAACTCTGCCTACGGATCTTTCAAACAAAGCTGCAGTATTTGCAGTCTCTATAAACACGACATCGGAAAGGAACGCTTGCTTAGCTTTTAGTCTCGTTAAGAAGTGCTGATAGGAGTGACAATAGGAAAGAAGATGCGTGTATTTAAGGGAAAATGCTGAGTGTTTCTTAAAACAAAATGGGAATGTCTCTATTTCCTCCAGACATGAGCTGCCCATCTGTAAGCATGTCAGGAGGAAATTGTACACCATCTCTCTGCACATCAAGTGACATTTAATGGTCAGATGACAGGCACACTGGTGCACAAATATGGGGACTGAAATGACAGTCGATTGGTGGGCCTTTTCCAGCATAAATGCCAAGGAGACTGTTTAAAATCAGTTACTATCAACAAGTCAAGTGATTCTTCCTCGGATTTATATGTTCCTATAATGGTCTCGCAGCTTTCTCTGGGGCATTTTCTGTTGTTTGGATGTTGGATGTCAACGTCCTGGTCTCTTGGAAGGCCTCGTTGAGTGCAGTCTTGTATACATTTGAACTCCTGTCTCGCAGACGCGCAGGTCATTCATACGATGTGCCTTTCCTCTCCCTGTAGGTGGAAATAACACTTCAGGACATCAATGACAACCCGCCAGTGTTCCCGACTGACATGCTGGACCTCACCGTGGAGGAGAACATTGGCGACGGCTCAAAGATCATGCAGCTCACCGCCGTGGATGCTGATGAGGTACCTGCATTTCTGAGACCTAGGATTCCAGTGATCTATCCGATTTCTCCTTTATCTCGGCAACTTTTCTAGCCAAGAAAGCTAAGGTGAAGCAATGTCTTTTCCAAAGACCTGTGATTATTGAAATGTGTTCTGAGAATACTGATGTAGGGACTGTTGAGAGGCCCTCGGGTCAGCAATTCACAACTCCGCTTCTTGCTGCAGTGGAGATTTCTTGGCTAAATTATTTTAATTCCCAATAATAAAAAATATCCCTGTCTTATGCTTTTATTATTATTCCAATTTGTTATCTTGGAGCAGCTAAGGATTGATTTTTATTGGTCATTTAAAAAAGCAAATCACTTAAAATGAAAACATTTTAAGACTAGTTATCTTTTTATTTCATTTAGATGTACATAAAATATGTAATTCAATAATAGCCTTATGTATTAAGGAAATTAGTCATGCTAATGACTTTTTCAACCTCATTAATAAACAGGAACTTCTTTCCTAGTGGTAAATGTGAAATTCGGGGGCGCAACTTAGATTATTGTCTTCTTCTACGTATATGTTACGTTTAGCTGTGTTGATAAACATCATGCCCCAGATATGATGGCAACTATATAGTTTGTAATTTATATATTTTTCACTAAAACATTCCATTGCTCATTTTCTCCTTCTTGCTAGGAAAACAGATTGATTAAAGTTCTGGAGTTTCAGGGAGAGGAACCACCTCCTTACACACTAATGCCCTTTTTCTCCTGAACTAAGCCCAACGTAGATCAGAGAGGTTAATGTTCTCATCTTAAATCAAACTGCAGAAGTGTCTGAAAACCTGATTTTTGGCCTATGAGTAACATCTTCATATATTTCTCTGACTTTAAAAAGGTCAATAAATTAAAAAAAATATTTATTTTAACAGTCAATACAGAAATGTAGTGACTCAGTCACTTGTAATTTTGCCAAAATGTAACTAACGTAAAGGAAATAAAATAAAGCATAGGCATTTAGATAATTGTAGCTTTGTACTTAGGAAGATCGTGTGTTTTTAATTTAGCACCTTCTACTCAATTTTATGTAGCAAAAAGTTTACTCCCAATTCCAGCTACCCTTAAGAGTTATGTGACTGAATACTTCTATAATTATTGGTAAATATGAGATAATAGCAGCAATAATTTAGTGGACACTGCATTTTCACAGCTCATCATTGATAATGTATATTTGAATAACCTAATCATAAAATTGCATTAACTCATTTTGAAAAATAGAAAAAGAAGCTCATGCAGGTGTTCTGAGACAGTTTCTGTCAAGTGACTGTGACTGTGGCGACCGTCTCCTTGGCTGTGTCCTGTGGGGACAGGACAGAGGAGCCTCATTTACTTCAAGTGATTTATCCAAAAAAGCAAGGCAATGACCACATTACTATTCAATATTCAATATCTAATTAGAATATACATTCTAATAAGATATTCTGCATTTGTGTGTGTAATGCATATTTTTTGCCCAAATTTTTAGGGAAAAATAAGAATGCACATTATACATGAGTGGTGCCTGAAATACTGTGTATCTGTTCTTGTGTTCTGCGTTTGTTACATAAAATTTCTTGTACCATAATATGTTTAAAAATACTAAAACTTCTGATAATATAAAAACATACCTAAATATAAATAAAATAAAAATTAAAACAGGAGATTTTTTTCCCCAAAAGTTTGGTCCAAAAACGTGGGTATGCATTATACACAGCAAAATACGGTAAAACTCTCTTAAGAATCGATTGAAAGAAATGCTAACATTCAAGTCTTTCAATGCTATTATATTGTACTGTTATAATTTTACTTCCTCCTTTTTTTTTCAAGATATGAGAAATAAGGGTTAGTACCAATGCTTTGCTGCCTGCGTGTTCGTTTGTCTCCACCAGACTTTTCTGTGCGCGTGAGCACCCATGTGTGGGTGTGTGTGCATACATGCTTGCATTGCCTCCAAGTTCATCCTTTGAGATATGTTTGCATGTATTGAGATACATATATGTTTACATGTATTAAGATACATGTCTCAGACATATTTGAGATATGTTTACATGCATTTTGAGGGTAGCTGGGGAGGTCGGTCCTTATATCTCTGTTTACATCCACATGGTTTAAGTGCATTTTGTTTCATTTCTGTCGAGCTTCGTTTTTTAAAGACTGGTATGGTGGCTCTCAGAGGGAAGTGGAGGGGGCGGTACAGGGGTCAACTATGTGGTGACAGAGGTGTGGTGACAGAGGTGACATGACTGTGGGTGGTGAGCACAGGGTGCAATATACAGATCATGGACCATAGAATTGTGCACTTGAAACCTATGTGATCCTATTAACCAATGTCGCCGAATAAATTTAATTTAAAAAATAAAATAAAATGACCACTGAAATTTGTATGCCAACAAAAATGTAAGAAAACATGCCAGCATTATCACTGAGACAGTCTAGTTTTAAACAATACTGACTCTAAGTATTGTTACTGAGGATGCGCCCAAAGTGCATTCAGGCGAGACAGGCAGGAAAGGGAAGGGCCGCTAAGGAGCAGAGCGGAGCGGGAGCAGACCTGGGACCTGAGGCAGAGCTGCGACTGCCTGAAGGCACGAGATTACCCAGCACTTGTGACAGGGTCTGTGTTAGGGGTGGGGGGCGGGGGGAAGCAGGAGAGGGGGCGGGGAGGCAGGTGGTTCATCTACAACTTTAAAGGCAAGGAGGACATCCTGTAAAATTGCTTCAGGACTGCTTTTTAAGGATTAAACTCATGAGGTTGCCTTCCTTCTTGAATACATGTTTCCTAAATTTTTTGATAGCATTTTAATGACTCTTGACTATTTTTCAACTCCTGACATAAGGGACCAACTTTCTTTGTCCTGATGTAATTCAGGGACGTGGGTGCAGGCAGAAACCCCAATTACGTCCCAGTTATGGGGTGTAGGCAGGGAGTTTGTCATGAGAAAAGGAAGGGAAATGAGCACCTGAGTAGAAGAGAGGAGTTCCTGTTGGTGCTAAGAGGCTAGGGTTACCCTTCAGTTACACATGGTGGTGACATCTGAAGAATGGCCTGCACATCGGCGCCCGAGGTCAGGGGGTCTGCTTCCCTGTTAGCTTTGTCACGGTTTGTGAGACAGTGTTGGTTCGGCCCAGCCCAAGGCTATTGTGCTCAGTTTGAACATCCCGAATGTTCCAGGAGTAAGACGTGGGAGGCGGCTTCTCTGGGATGGCGCGCAGACACCTTTTTGAAACAGCACTGATCATAGCATTTTTCACTTCAGCATTAAATTGTCATGCAGTTCTCCAGTGGATTGGTGTTGAGACATTAGTAGGATTCTTTAAAACACTAGGATTATGTAGGCCATCAGCAAATTATGTGTTGATGTATTCTTCATTATTTGTACACTTTTCCCTAATAATTAAATCAAACATAAAAGTACTAGAATGTTAGCCCTGGCTGGGATGGCTCAGTTGGAGCATCATCTCCTGGACCAATGGGTTGCAGGCTTGATTCCTGGTCAGTGCATAAACCCAGGTTGCAGATTCCAGCTCTGGTAGGAGCGCAGAGGCAAGGAATCGATGTTTCTCTCTCACATGGATATTTCTTTCTCTTTCCTCCCATCCCCTTTCTCTCTCTTCAAAAGCAGTGAAAAAAATGTCCTCAGGTGAGGATAAACTAAAGAAAGAAAAATAAAAATACTGTCATGTTAAAGAAACTGTAGTAGGACACTGGAGAATAATACTTGGATCAAGGAATCATTCCCAGAAAGCAACAGGAACATGCAGACATTAAGTATTATAGGAAACATGCGCTGGAGCAAGACACACACCTTTCAGAAGCATCTTTGAGTCTCTCGTTTCCTTTCCTGAATGGAGTTTATGCCTGTGATGGGCCAGGCTGCTCCAGCTGATACCTGTTTCACGGTACCGTGCTGGTTTTTGAAAATACTACATGAGGTTGTAAAATGCATTTGCGATTTATAGCTGTTTACTCTCAGAATCCCTTTCTCGTGCTTTTCGCTCTGTAGTTTTTCGGGATAGTGTATTTTTAAACAGCATTATTTCCACTGGGCAGCAGCGGAAAGACGGTGTTCGTTCCTCATGGCATTGCTGACACTGCATATTCGGGATATTAAATAAATAAATAGAGTTTTCAAGAGCCCTAATTAAATCATTATTCTTGGCCAGACCCTTCCAGGTATTCACTAGAGCTATTAATTCACCACGTCAGCTGATTCAAACATGAGAATATATCAACAAAGTCTGGTGCCTTTCCTTCTGTGCAGGAAGGTTACCACAGCTTTGGGAGATAGGGCACTGCTAACTTTTAGACGATTTGTGTAATAACTTTAAAACTGTTTTTGTTCCTTTGCTTTTCCCTAATTTCCAAATGCCATTTTAAGAAGTCAGAATTTAAAATAGCACTTTTCATACCTGGACTGCTTTCCTAAATGGAATTTCTTGTGAAGCAGAACAGAGAGTACAGAATATGGTCAGATTAGAAGTCTCAAATTTTTATCAAATGTTTTTGTTAGACCATACAATTAAAAGGAATGTGTTAGATATTCCATGTACACCTGAATATACAAGATAAATGTGGGCAGTATGGTAAACTCAGCTGTTTCGTTTCTAAATGAAAATGTGCTTTCAGGCATTCCCTTTATGAAATGTTAAGATTGGCTTGGGGAACACAATCCAATACTAAATATAGCAGACGCCACTAAACATGCATTTTGAAAAGAGAGTTTTTGCCCTTGACTGTTAGAAATCATTGCCTTATGTACAAGTGTTTGACTCTGAAGGAGAAAATGTACGTAATGTCTGATGGAACACAAGTATAGAAACTCCGATTCCCACTGCATTGGCCTTATATTCCTACACACCCGAAATGGATGTTCTTCCTAATGCCCTTCTTTTGAGTTCTTGGCCTGCATATGCTAATAAACAAACTTTTGGAGGTTACCAACGGTAAGAGACATATTTGTTTTATGTGGGTATATTTAAATCAAAATGTAATTTCTGAAGTTAACTACTCCAACATTACTTATACCTCAGGGTCAAGACTCAGTAATTATATAAAAATAGGAAATCAGGAAACATATTTTCCTTGGGATATATGGCAACTCTGATAATAGTTCAATTTATTCATCTGCAGACATTTTAGTCATCAAATACTCTTAACCGATTATATTTTCTTGTAAGAAAACACTAGAAATGGGAATGAAAATAACTAGCATGGTCACATACTTAAGTGTGTCTCAAAGATCGTTTTGGTTCTACACATGTATAGACTCATTTAACCCTCACAACAGCACCACTGGGCAGGCGGGGTCGTTCCGATAGTCCTGACCAGGGAACGTGGGCTCACAGAGGCCGAGTGGCCCAATGACACAAAATTGGTAAGTGGCGGAGCATAGATTCCACCCAAAAGCATCAGATCTCGGCCAGTTCAGTGTAGAATATTTAACCCAACATTTCCGTTATAATATACATTATTTATTTATTTAGTTAGTTAGTTATTTTTCAAGTACAGTTTTTTGTCTATTTCTCCCATCCCAGCCCCCGCCCACCCCGTGCTCCCCACCTCCCTCCCATTTCCACCCCCCTTGGTTCTCATCCCTGTGACCTTCCTATTTGTTTCTTCAAATCCCTCCCCTTTTTTCCCCTTAAATTCCCTTCCCTCTCCCCTCTGGTCACTGTCCCCTTGTTCTCTATTTCAATGTCTTTGTTTTTATTCTGCTTGCTTGCTTGTTTTGTTGTTTAGCGTCCTGTTAAAGGTGAGATCATATGGTATTTGTCTTTCAACACCTGGCCTATTTCACTCAGCATAATGCTTTCCATTTCCATCCATGTTGTTGCAAAGGGTAGTAGCTCCTTCTTTCTCTCTGCTGCATAGAATTCCACTGTGTATATGTACCACAATTTTTTGATCCATTCGTTTACTGATGGGCCCCTAGGTTGCTTCCAACTAATATACATAATTTAAAATATCGGAGTCCAGCTGTTTACAGTTTCAACAATATATAGGTAAGTTTATAATAGAATTAAAATACCATGGAGTTAGTATCTCCCATCATCAAATCTAGAAGGGTGCTGTGATTTAAATTCTCCTTAATGTCTTTATTTTGACTTTGCTAAATCCTGCTCATCCTTGAAATCTTCTTTTAACCTCCATGGTAGGCTGTTCCTCTGGTTTCCCCCGAGGTCCCTCCTGCTTCCCTCAACCCCTGCCTCCGCTCCTGCCTCCCACTCTTCTTGTTTTGTTTTTTAGTTGAGTTTATTGGGGTGACATTGGTTAACAAAGCCATACAGGTTCCAAGTGTCCAACTCAACAAAACACCATCTGCTTTCTGCATTGTGTGCTCATTGTCCAAAGCAAAGTCTCTCTCTGCCCCTCTCCATTTGTCCCCTTGTCGTCTTCCACCTCCCCCACCCCCTTTCCCTCCGCCTGTCACCACACTGTTGTCTTTGTGTGTGTGTGTGTATATATATATATACACACACTTAGATATATAGATATATATATACACGCACACATAGATCATCTGTCCAAAAGGTATCCGGCCATATAATATGAAAAAGAAAGACACGAGAAACAGTGTACATAGGACAATAACGCCTCAGTTCCCTTCGAAGTAGGCACCTTGAGACCTCACATAGTTCTCCCAGTCACCATCAGCTGCCCGGTCATATTTTCTTGAATCTCATTCATTGTCTGAAATCTCTTCCCTTTCAAAGGTGATTTTAGTTTGGGGAAAAGCCAGAAGTCACAGGGCAGGAAATCTGGGCTCTAGAGGGCCTGAGTCACCTGGGTGATTTGATGTTTTGCCAAAAGACTATACAAGATGTGATGCATGAGCAGGTGTGTTGTGACGAAGCTGCCAATCACCAGCTGCCCACAGGTGTGGTCTTCTGAATTACCTGAATAATTTCTGTGGAAGAATGTTCAAGCTTAACACACAATTTGATGCAGATTTGTTGATCTACTCACTCAGTCATTTTGAATGTAACAGCCACACAGTACACATGCTCACTCAATGGTGTCTATTGCTCTTACTGACTAGTACAGTGAAGTCATCATTGTTCACACATGTGTACTCCAGTCCACTCTCCTTGGCTGCCAGTTACTTCAATGTTGTGCAAACCATTCTTATTATATTAACAACGGTTGAGCTTTTTCTGGACAGACCCTGTGTGTGTCCATACACTTATGTATTCCTTCTTCTCAGTCTTAAAACATCATATTTTTCCCTGGCCAGTATGCTCAGTGGATTGAGTGTCAGCCTGAGAACCAAAGGATCACCAGTTCGATTCCCAGTCAGAGAGCATGCCTGGGTTGTGGGACAGGTGCCCAGTAGGGGGCACATGAGAGGCAACCACACATTGATGTTCTTCTCCCTTTCTTTCTCCCTCACTTCTCCTTTGTCTAAAAGTAAGTAAGTAAGTAAGTAAGTAAATAAATAAATCTTTTTTTAAAAGTCCATATTTAGTTCTTACACTGCTGTTCCTTTATCTAGTCTAATTTTAAATTCTCAACAAATCTGGGACTTCTACTGCCACGTACTTACATTGACCTTAAGGTACTTTTTCGAACCTTTTCTCAGATCTCTGACTAACACTGACAATTTCTATGGAATTGGTTATACACTGACCATTTCTATGAAATTACCCATCCGTCTCAGACCATATGTAACAGCTCACAGCCTCATTTCTCCTGCGTCAGAGCAGATCTTACTATGAAGTGTCTTTATCAAGAGTAGTTTCTTACTTCCTCCCCAAAGCAAGTTGATGTTTAAGTATTTCTTTTCTGTCACTCTTACCCATCACATAGACTTGTTAAGAGACACGAGGACCCGTGAGAATGCAAAACAAATGACACTGTTGTTATTTCTCCACCCAGTAGCCTTTAAGCCACATCAATGGCCTTCTGATTGGTCCTCTGTGTTGTGCCAGGTGTGTGATGACTTAACAGTGTAGGTTCTGGAGCAAGACGGCCAGGGTTTAGATTCCTACCTCTCGGCCTCTTTATCATCAGAATGGGGATAATAATAGTACTTACCTAAGGGTTTGCCTTTAAGGATTAAGTCATTTAGTACCCAAGAAGTGATACGCTCAGAGAGGTGCTTAGCACTTAATAAATACTTAATGAGTGTGTTCTTTTTCTCAATTTTCCATTCCTTCTGCCAACTTCCTAGTTCATACTTTAGTTCTTGAGGGCCACGGCTCAAAGGGAGAACACAAGAAATTATCCCTGGTCTCATCTTACAGAACAGACCCCTGGACCCTGTGAAGAAGGCCGATGGCAAATGGTTCCACCCTGAGGAAATGAAGCTCCAGTTTTTGGGGCTCAACCTCCTCACTGTTCCCCTCCCCCGACCCCTCCCCAGGCTTGTCCCTTCTCCTCGAACAATAGCCTTAAAGGATTGTTTCCAACTCAAACAAGCTCAGTGGTTTCTAGACCATAGAATTCAAGCCAGCATGTGTTATAGTCGCAATTCTCCAACCTGGATCCATCACCTCATGTCAGCTTGACTTTCTCCTTTTGTTCTGTATTGAAGTTTTTGAATGCAACCGGCCTGTTCAACAGCGAATGAGCCAAGCTTGTCATTCTTCCCTTTGCCCTTTTGCTTATACTCAGACATACTTCCTTAGTCTTTGCTTTAAAAAACAAATCTTCCCTTCAAAACCCACTCTACACAGTCTCCTTTGTATCTTCCCAAAATAAATCAACTCAAAATACATCCCTCTTTCCCCTTGGCTCTAATAGTACTTTTTGCAAGCTTCTCCCATGTGCTCTGGCCTCGGTTAGTTACCTTTTCCTGCTGAGTGAGAAGGGACACAGAGCTGGTCAGGCATACTTGGGTTTGAAATCCACACTGACACTTACAGGGTGACAATGTGTAAGTTAACTAGCCTCTGGGGTCCCCGTGTCTTCCTTGGAGAACTCGTGCCTTGTGGACTCATGACAGTGCCCAGTAAAAAGCAAGCCCTTAGCAAACTGGTAATATTATCATGGGTGATATCACAGAGAGAGCTTCACTCCTTTCCACGTGCACATGTCATGAATTAATATATATACACATAGCTAATCCTGAAGGGTGAGACTTGTTGTGTGTTTTCACGGAGTGAAAGGGGGACAGCTGGCTCTCTAAGACGCGACACTGGCCTGCTACCTTTTGAAACCTTACTGTATCCTACAGAATTAGCCCAGAGCTTCCCCTTGTCCGATCCATACTTAGTGTAAGGAGCGGTGCTCTTCCTCTCCCACTTCTAGCTGTTCAGGTGCCGGTCCTTTCTTCTCAGGGGGCGAATGCTCTTGTCACGTACACCATCATCAGTGGGGCCGAGGACAGCTTCCGCATTGACCCCGAGTCCGGAGACCTGATAGCGACCAGGAGGCTGGACAGAGAGCGCCGTTCCAAATACTCTTTGCTGGTTCGTGCGGATGACGGTCTCCAGTCCTCGGACATGAGAATTAACATCACGGTCAGCGACGTGAACGACCACTCACCCAAATTCTCCAGGCCTGTGTACTCCTTTGACATCCCTGAAGACACCACCCCAGGTAGGGGGCACGCCCTCAGGTGCATTTTGCAAGGATCGCCTTTGGCTCCAGTGATAGACCGTGTTTTCACGGCTCTTCATTGATCACAAGTTTTTCCCATCTGCTGCTAGGTCTAAAAATATGTGTGCTGGATTTTTGAATCTTTTAATTCGCCCTCTTTGCTATAATTCCCAAGCAGATTGGTAGACTTTTGAGAGCACTAGTTACAGAGATTTCTGTTTCTGAAAGTACTTGTGACAGGGGTTGTTAATTCTTCTGGCAACACAGTTTTGATTTTATTTTTCCACTTGAGAAATGTCAATTGTAATTATGCTGCTATGTATAGAAAGAGCAAAGAAAAGCACAAGAAAACCTGCGAAAAGTGGTCTTAGCCCCCACTAGCTGTGTGACCGGGACAAGTCAGTTCATTTCTCTCAGCCTCAGTTCCTTCTGCTGTGAAATGGGAAGGGTCATCCGTGTTAGAACTGGGGCAAAGGTTAATTTAGAATGGAGGGGTGAGTTTGCTGCTGGGGGGCCTGAGAATTAGCTGCTGCTCAGTGAGCCTTAGTGGAATATAGTCCCTGAATGGCCATCCTGTGTCTCTCAGTGTATTATGTTATGGTTTTTGTGTTTGAGAACAGTGTCTGTGTTCGTGGTGTGTGTGCTTCGTGGCCATTATGGGAAATTCTTATCTGAAATTGAAATTTGATTCGGAGTCCTATTTGGAACGTGTTTGCATAATAAGGCATATGTTTGGGAAACTCATCTGACAAGGAAGGAAACATTTATAGAAGACGACTCACTCCTCACTGCAGTTTTCTCTTCGCTCCCCAAGATGAGCTGTGCCTGTTCTGCACAAATTCCCGTCACACTTATTTCTTGCTTGATTACAGCGATGGCCATCTGTGCGGTCAGGTGGTGTCTCACGGGCATACGTCTGCATTATCACTCGGAGTCCCCAGTTCCTGACACTAGCCGTGGACCCCCATGCATGTTCCCTGAAGTCATCAATATGTGGCTATGAATTGGTAGCTCCAGGTAGTAAAATAATGCCAGAAGGAGCATCAGTGCCCAGAGCATTTGCACTGCAGCACGCAGCCTAAGATCTACTGGCTATCAAAGATGCCGCATGCTTTGTTAATATTTGGAAATGTTGGTATCAGTGTTCACGCAGAAATCAGCCAAATGTTGTGTTCGCTATTTTTTCATAGTGATTCTCTAGTTAAAAGATTTCATTGCAGAAATAATTTTTTTGGTGTCGTATATATATTCTCTTAGTGGCGCCCATGTCCCATTAATTTAGCCTATTCATTTATTCTTTTGGTAGGTTCTTTGGTGGCAGCGATTTTAGCTACAGATGACGACTCCGGTGTGAATGGAGAAATTACCTACAGTGTGAATGAGGACGATGAGGATGGCCTGTTTTTCCTGAATCCAGTTACCGGAGTCTTCAATTTGACTCGGACATTAGATTATGAAGCTCAGCAGTATTATGTCCTCACTGTTCGAGCTGAAGACGGTGGGGGGCAATTGACCACCATCAGGGTTTACTTCAATGTACTGGACGTGAACGACAATCCCCCCCTTTTCAGCCTCAGCTCATACAGCACATCTTTAATGGAGGATCTGCCCCCAGGGTCCACGGTGCTTGTGTTCAATGTTACAGATGCAGATGATGGTACGTACTTTCTTTTTTTTTTAATTAATTTTTTTATTGATTATGCCATTACAGTTATTCTATTCCCCCCCTCATTCCCCTCCATCCTACCCCCCCGTCCCCACCATTACCCCCCCTTTAGTTTATGACCATGTGTCTCAAGTTCTTTAGATTCTATATTTCCCATACTATTCTTGCCCCCATCTATTTTCTATCTACTGTCTATGCTACTTATTTTCTGTACCTTCTCCCCCCCTTCTCCTCCTCCCACTCCCCTGTTGCTAACCCTCCATGTGATCTTCATTTCTATGGTTCTGCTCCTGATCTAGCTGTCCTCTTAGTTTGCTTTTGTTTTAGGTGTGGTTGGTAATAACTGTGAGTTTGCTGTCCTTTCACTGTTCATGTTTTTTTAACTTCTTTTTCTTAGATAAGTCCCTTTAACATTTCATATAATAAGGGCTTGGTGACGATGAACTCCTTGAATTTGATCTTATCTGAGAAGCACTTTATCTGTCCTTCCATTCTAAATGAAAGTTTTGCTGGATAGAGCAATCTTGGATGTAGGTCTTTGGATTTCATGACTTGGAATACCTCTTTCCAGCCCCTTCTTGCCTGGAAGGTCTCTTTTGAGAAATCCGCTGACAGTCTGATGGGGACTCCTTTGTAGGTGACTGTCCCCTTAGCTCTTGCTGCTTCTAGGATTCTCTCCTTCATTTTAATCTTGGCTAATGTAATTATGAAGTGCCTTGGTGTGTTTCTTCTTGGGTCCAACTTCTTTGGGACTCTCTGAGCTTCCTGGATTTCCTGGAAGTGTATTTCCTTTGCCAGATTGGGGAAATTCTCCTTTATTATTTGTTCAAATAAGTCTTCCATTGGTGGCTGTTCCTTTCCCCCTTCTGGTACCCCTATAATTTGGATGTTGGAGCATTTAAAGATGTCCTGGAGGTTCCTAAGACTCTCCTCATTGTTTTGAATTCTTGCTTCTTCACTCTTTTCTGTTTGGCCATTATTTGCTTTCTTCTGGTCCACTCCATTGATTTGAGTCCCAGTTTCCTTTTCATCACTATTGGTGTCCTGTGCAATTCCATTCATTTCAATTAGTTTCACCTTCATATGTTTGTCTAATTTGTGGCTATAATCAACCAGTTCTGTGAGGATCCTGATCAGCAGTGTTTTAAACTGTGCATCTGAGAGTTTTGCTATTTCTTCATCGCTTAGATTTATAGGCTCTGGGACTTTGAGATCCTCTTGAGCCATTTTTGGTCTGTTTGCGCCCTTTAAGTGTGAGAAGCGGAGCCTTGGACTCCCAGGTCCCTGGGTTGTGACGCTGTATGTGGGGGTGTGGTCAGAGCGGGGAAATGGTGGCCCCCTCTGCTATTTCGCTGCTGGGTGAGGAGCAGAGCCTTAGGTGGTTCACCAGGGCGGGGCCACTCAGGTCGCTGGGTTATGATGCTGTATGTGGAGGCGGGGTTAGAGTTGGGAAATGGCGGCGCCCTCTGCTGCCGGTTGCTGCTGGGGCTGCTGGCTCTCGTCCAATGGCCCACTCCCTCGCTTGTCTATCCACGCACAAATGCGCGACCACAGTCAACCCGCAGCCCTGGTCCCTCGCTGTTTCCCCGCAGTCGCTCGCTGAGTTGCCCACCAGGTCCAACCCTGCGCCTGGATTCCGTGCACCTGAGTTCATCTGACCGAGTTTTCCTGTGCTACCCCGCTCCACCACCTGCTGGTTTCGCCCCTCTTACCGGTCAGGCTGAAGAATTTGTTGTTATCAGACTTCCGAAAAGTTCGGTTTTCTGTGTTCTGACTGTGTTTTCTGTTGCTATTATTTAGTTGTCTCTAAACTTGGTTGTGTGAGGAAGCACAGCATCTCCACTTATGCCTCCATCTTGGCGGAAGTCCGTACTTTCTTTACATTCTTAAAAAACTTCCCTAAAAAGGTATCCCATTGCTAGTGTATTTTTTTACATTGTTCAGCTGTCACAAACTTGTGTGTTGTAAATACAGGTCCAAAGTTGAGGATTAGGTGTGTAATTTAGCTTTAGAGGATTAAACAAATTAAGTAATTTGTCAGTTAAATTCTCACCAATGACAGAGAGCATGCACTGTTACTGTCTTATAAACTTTTCATCTTTATCTTTCTGTCCCCACTAAATGTGTGGCTATATTGCGGTTTAATAAAGTAGAAGTCACAGCTTTTCAGTGGGTTTTTGTCAGATAAAGAAAATATTTATTTACACATATTATTTTAATGTAAAAAGGATAAAATTTGGAAGCAAAAGTAAAACCGGTCTTCAAAACCACTTAATAATGTATAACTAGTTTTATATTTGACTGAAAACTGCTAATAATATCTTGGCAAGCTTTTAGGCTTTGACTCAAAGGACAGCCTCAGCCCTCTCAGGCTTTGGAATCGAGTTGAGATTTTCCATTAAATCTAGATTTTACATGTGTTTGATTTTTACTTACTGCAAAAGCATTTGATGCATTTTTTTTTTTAAGACTCCCCTGGCCTTTCTCCCAAGACTCATTTTGTAAACACACACATGAGATGATTGATACATTGGTAGTGATAACACTGTGCAGATTATCAGTCTTGAGCTGACCTGTTTTGGAAAGTTCATATGTTCTTTTGCCTCCCATTGGATGCACCGAAATGTCCTATCAGGAGAGAAAACAAGGCGCAGTAGTTTGGGGAGGAAATGGGTCTGTAGCCCGAGGCCTGGTGGCACCAGCGTATCAACCCTAATTTAGAGTTTCCTGGTGCCCCCCGACAGGGGTGATTTATGTCATCTCGGAATGTCATTCCATGTCAACATTCTGCCCTATACTTAGCGTCCTTTCAGGAGTGTCTAGAAATGCCCTGTACAAAGACATGGGAGGCAAAAAGCACAGTATTTTATCAGGTTTAATTCACAAATTTGGAAATGCTTTCTTTTTTTCCCTTTTCATTGAGTTTATGGGGAGACACTGGTTAACAAAATGACACAGGTTTCAGGTGCCCAGTTCTTACAACACACCCTCTGGACACTATATTGTATGTGTGTTCACCACCCCAAGTCAAGACAGAAGTGCTTTCTTTAGGACTTATTGAGTCCTTTAGGAAGTTTTCTCCTCGAATACACCTCAGATAGAAGTGGCTGTGAGGGTACCACTGCTATTGCTAATGACGTGAATGGCAGACAGTGACCAACCACGTCACGTGCGGTGTTCATTGTTCAGCAGCCCCGGCCCAGGAGCCCTGCAGATGGTCCCCTGTGCCCCAGCCCAGCTCTGGGGTCTGGCTCCTAGCAGACATTCAGAAACGAGTCAGCTTAATCTCTATTTGGGATGCTGATTTCTCTGGTATATGGGCTCCCCAGATGGGGGTATTTTCTAAATTGTCCTTGAGACTGACTGGCCCAGACTTTTCCATGGTGAAGACTTTTATGTGCCATGTTTTTTTTTGTGATTTATTTATTGTGGGTTAGAGAGAGCCGTTGCTTCATAGGATTGCATGCTTTTCTGGAACAAATTTCATTTATCTTCATACCTCAAAATGTAGGGAACTGGGAAAACAACAAATAAGAAATGTTCTCTGTGAAAACAGGCTGGGGTGTGCCACGCACTCACACACGGTTAGACGTTAACCGTTGACTTCGAGTTACTTTTCATGAAACTTTTTTCCCTTTAATTGTGTTGAGTAAAAAAAAAAAAAGTCAAGCTGCATTTCCCCATTGTTTTAGTTTTGAATACTTTTATCTGGGTAATTTCCTGTACCTTGACCTAAAATATAGGACACAGTTCCTATTCTCTCTGAATTTCAAGGATGATGATAAGGCCGTACAAAGGTAAACTTGTTTGTTTAAAACTGCCAACTCAGTTTTATTAAATAGTTCTCAAAGCATTTTATAAACAGTATTGTTTAGACTTTGAAAAATTAACAAATTCATCTTATTGTTTGATCAAAATGTTCCCAATGTGGTAATATTGACATGTTCATAGATGAAGTAATTTAATAGGATAATAAATTTAAGATTTACTGTTATCAATATCTAAATTCTCTAAGAGGTTAACCTAAAATTTTAGGTTCCACGATGATTTAATAAAAAATAAAGCAAATATTTTACTTTTTTCAGAAGTAGTGTTTTGTATTAAAATATATTACAGCGAGGCAGACTATTGAAAATTGAAGCTTTATGGAAATATTCTGGCTTTACTAATATGTCATTACTTTAAAAATGCATTTTCTAGTCTTCGAAATATTGAGGAGTCACAGGGTGTTTTGGGGATAAAATGATCACACTTGTTGCAAATGAAGTCACCTGCACGCCCATGGCCCACAATGCAGTTTGTTTGACCTGTGAATGGTTTTCATATTGCGAACGAATATGCACATTTTACAGTAGAACTATATACCTATAGTTATGTCCCTGGAACTAAATTATTCATGAGACTGAAATAAAAAAAAGAAAACCCCTCAAAACCCAAAACCAGCACACCCCCACAATAAACCTGCCAGAAAGAATCATGTACCTACACCACATGCAGAACATTGAACACAAAGGTGAGAAGTACGGGCTGCTTTACGTTCAAGGATCTGCTGGGCTATAAAATCTCGTTAGATTCAAGTTTCAATGCTTTGGATAGATCATAGGACTTGAAAATAATGTGTTTAGTGTTTTCTGATTCTAATATTCGGTGCAAAAAGCAGAGAGAGAAAAATGACCTGAGCTCTTCGTCAGGATACTGCCCATGTTCAGGGAGAGTTTTGCGTCTCAACGTGTCCGCGTGTATTTTCTGGATGTAGAACACATGCCCAGTCACTTCACCTTGTCAGGGTGCAGGGTGCTGTTCTCTTCGGTGCAGTGCGCGCAGAAGGCTTCCCTGGTCTGTGATCGCTCCGGTGACCAGTGGAGGGCTGGTTTTTAGATGGTGTTGCAATGTTTTATGCAGAAGTATAATGATATTTTCATGTGTATTTTCTCAAAGATAGTGATCACTATCATCAGTTTATATTTAATATTATCACCTAACATATTTGTCATTATGAATTTGACTAATCCAATTTTTCTTTTTTGTAATCCTACTTAAAGTTAAACTTACTCCATCTACTCACCCCACTGAACTCTTTCCCTAAAACAAAGGCTCTTCTGCTGTTTACTGCGTGGCTACAAAATCTTGGTATCGGTTCTCTTTCTGCCTCCGCAATTTGGTTGTTTACTCAGGGAGGCGGCGTGCACAGTGGGCCCTTCCACTGATTTATGCAGAAATGCTAGACCGACACTTCATAGCCACGGGCACTTGTGTCAGTATTTTTCGTTTCTTTCCATCTTGGGCATGGAAGATTTTACATGTGTGTAGAGAACTAAATTTTATATCTCTGTTTGTTGGTATTATTTTTATCCATACGTTTTCACCACTTTTTCTCAAAAATAATTGTGTCTGAATTTGAGCCTCAAAGAATAAGAATTCAGTATTCACTAATGGATTTAAGTATAGGAAATGCAGAAAATGTCCTTAGAGAGTAATTTGATTTAAAACATATATTAAAAATGTACATGTATTATCTATATAAAATGTACATATGACTATATATTAAATCAGGTTACTTTAATTTTAATTGTTCATGTATACATCTCCTTAGAAAGGAATCTATTTGTGTACTGCACCCATTGATGGGACTCTTTGAGGGGCCATATATTATGATGCTTTTTTATCCCCAAACCTGTGGATTTCTAAGCTGAAGAGTTAAAGTAAGCTGTTGACCTTGTTCTACCCAGATCTTAAAATTCTTTTTATCTCCTGCTATTGAATTGACCGTGGCCTCCATTAGCTTTATTTATTCATAGTTTGAGTGATCCTCAAAGTTTTAAGCATTCTGAACTTTATAACCTCTGCTTTGTTCACTTGTGAATAGCCATAAACTACGAAGGTTAGAAGTCACAACTCATAACAAGGAGGAAAACCCTACCTTTTTAAAGATCTATTCAACCCTTATTTATCTTAGAAACTTTTGTGAATAAGCCAGTGACTCCAAGTTTTCTCATAAATATTTTTCCCTGCATCCATATATAGACTGAGGACCTTAGATAGAGACCAGAAAATCACTGGAAAAGAAAAACTCCAGCATTTTTTAAAAAGGACAGGCCCTACCTGGTAGAAAAGAGAATCCCATTACTCAATTAAAACTTGCCTCTGCTAGGAACTTGATGAATTGTAAGAAAAGGCAGAAGGCAACTCAAGTATTTATAGAGTTCTGAGAAAGTCCTTTTCAAGGGGAAAAAAGAGAGAAAAGGGTTGACCACATTGTCCTCGAACACTCTTGACAAACAGTGAACACGGCTTCTGCCACCTGAGTAGTTGGAATTAATTTCAGAGAAAATAGGAGCTATTTGTAAGCAATTTATTAACTCAATAATTTTTTCCCTGGTATAAAATCCCAGAACATAAAATCCTTATTAAGGAGGATTTAACCTAGGTACACAATACATTTCTTAGCAAGTTTTACAATATCCTACAATACCCCAATATTTTTATGATAAAAAATATACATGTACATGGCATTATGGATCAGTGGATACAACACTATTCTTGGTCCAGAAATCTGGGGTTATTTTGTTTGTTTGTTTTCATTGCTGATCTGTTATTTGCCTGTAAATTATTTACTAAAGCAATAGGTTGATCTGTTCTCCATATCTTCTCAGTTAGAAGAATGTCTGCAATCAATTTCTGAAAGGATTTATATATCATTCTTTAAATTAAAAAGTCACACATTTCTAGGAAAAATAGATAAAATACTGTCTAAATATAGCCCAATAATAGTATGAACATTTATATTTGGAGTCTTTCATGTATAATTTTACTGCTAACATTTCCTTTAAATAATATTTTTAAAACACATTAAGTATACATAATAAAATTTGAGAGAGAATTATTTTCACAAAGGCCATTAGCCAGGTGCCTAATAGGAATTAAAAAGTATTTATTGGCCTGACAAGAAATGTAAAAGTAGACTTAAAGTATCCATGACTAATGCCATACATTAGAAAATTTTATTACCCTCCTCTGAAAATTGGTGTCGGCCTCAATAAATTACTGAAGTTATAAATTTTTTGGCTAATAGTGTAGCGAGTGGCACTGTTATGTTCAACCTCAGGAATTATGTGCTCGAAATGAGGAAGTGTATAGAAAAATATACACTCTCTGGAATATTGTTTCCTCTTCACTCATGTAATTTAACATTTCAACACCGTGGTAAATAGCAAACAGTATATATATCATTTGTTCACCAGGTTGTAAACATCTTTTCAGATCAAAAGTAAGTGGGAAAAGAATTACGTGTATGCGTTACTGACAGAGAATTATGCGTATGTGTTACTGACAGAAGATTAGCTGCCCCAGGCGTGTTTGGAGGCGCCATATATCAAGTGCACAGTTCCATATTGCAAAAATTTTGGTGCGGCTTAGTTGTCAGCACACACTGAAGAGAATCTGATATTTTCCCCCTTCATTTCAGGCATCAACTCCCAGTTGGCTTACAGCATCGCTTCAGGCGACAGCCTCGGCCAGTTCGCAGTGGACAAGAGCGGTGTCCTGACCGTCCTCAAGGCTTTGGATCGGGAAAGTCAGTCCTTCTACAACCTGGTGGTTCAGGTGCAGGACCTGCCGCCGCTTCCGGCCCCCAGGTTCACCAGCACTGCCCAAGTCTCCATTATTTTGCTGGATGTAAATGATAACCCACCAACATTTCTCTCCCCTAAATTGACCTACATTCCAGAAAACACACCGATTGATACCGTTGTTTTCAAAGCTCAGGCAACAGACCCGGACAGCGGCCCGAACAGCTACATTGAGTACACCCTGCTGAACCCCTTGGGGAACAAGTTCAGTATCGGGACCATTGATGGTGAAGTGAGGCTCACTGGAGAGCTGGACCGGGAGGAGGTTTCTAACTATACTCTGACTGTGGTGGCTACAGACAAAGGTCACCCATCTCTCTCCTCGTCGACAGAGGTCGTGGTCATGGTCCTCGACATCAATGACAACAGCCCTGTTTTTGCACAGGCCTTGTACAGGGTGGAGATTAACGAGAACACGCTCACAGGAACAGACATCATGCAAGTGCACGCGGCAGATGGGGACGAGGGCACGAACGGACAGGTCCGCTACGGCCTCCTGGATGGGAACGCCAATCAGGAGTTTCGGATCGACTCCGTCACAGGCGCCATCACGGTGGCTAAGCCACTGGACAGAGAAAGGACCCCAACCTACCTTTTAACGGTTCAGGCAACAGATCGGGGCAGTACCCCCCGAACCGACACCTCCACTGTCAGCGTTGTCCTGCTGGACGTCAATGACTTTGTTCCTGTGTTTGAGCTGTCTCCGTATTCCGTACATGTCCCTGAGAATTTAGGGACACTGCCCAGAACAATCCTTCAGGTGCGTATATTGAAACACCTGTGGGTTTTCCATACGGCATTAAACTTTGATGTTCAGGCTGCCCCCCCCCCCTCATCCTCCTCCCTAAGTGTGTAATTGCAGAGATAGCAAATCTTGAAAGGTTTTTGAAAATTAGATCTATTGATCTAATTTTGTAGATTGAATATTCCATTTCAGTTTCATTCTTTCCTGTATACTCATGTTGTACACATTTAGGTATTTGTATATTTTTGAATCTTGTTTCACTGTAGCAGGAATATCTGCACACAGTAAGAAAATATAATGATGCAAAAGTTTGAAAACTTGGTTGCAAACCTGGTTCTCGCTTCTCAGTGTACAAATCCAAAGACCTAGTAGAACTCCTGTTTGAAAGGTTTGAAAAGCCTTCCAAGAATGCAGTGCATTGATTTTATGCCTGTTTTCACGCAAATAATACATACTATTCTGCACCATTTGAATTTTTTACTTGACACTTAAAACAATCTATGTCTTTGAAAGTTTTTATTGGTATATATCTGCAATTTTCAACCAGCATGTTGCAAAGATTTTAAAAACATGCAGTACCTGACTAAACTTAATCAGGGGCACTGACCTCTTTTCCCTTAGATTGTCAAATTAAAAAAACAAAAAAATGAAACCAAACAAAAGACAACAGCCAACACTGCAACAGTTGCCCAGTGTGAATGAATCAGAATTACACATTTTTTTTTTTTATCAGACTGGCAAAAACATATTTTTGGGTGAGCTGCAGAATTTTAGTAATTAGCTTACATGCTTTGAGACAAAAGGGCTGAAAATCACTGGTGTATAGGATTCTATCCCATCATTTTTAATGATGCATTTTACCTTGTGATGTGCGTTGTGTGCTTTCCTCACGTCCCTGCCATGCATTGTCCTCTCCTGCAGGTGGTGGCCAGAGATGATGACCAGGGTTCTAACAGCAAACTCTCCTACGTCCTGTTTGGTGGTAATGAAGACGGTGCTTTCACCCTCTCAGAGAGCGGGGAACTCCGGGTAACACAGAGTTTGGACCGAGAGACCAAGGAGCACTTCGCCTTGACGGTCACAGCTATAGATTCTGGTAAGTCTGTTGTAACCTTGCTCAGTTGTGAAAAATTTCTTCATAGAGCGAGTAATAAAAAGTATTTGTGTCTCCTGTTAAGTTGAAATTTACTAATGCTTGGAGCTCCATTGGTAGCTATATAATGCATTGCACATATATCACTTTATGAAATTACGCGTAAGTGGTAAGGGCTTAAGCACGTCACAAACTAAGCTCTTTTCCTGTAAGACAAAGTGTGTCCTTGCTCAGTGATAAGCTGCCCAATGCCTGGGGGGTGACCTGAGACTCTGCCAACTGAGCCAAGAGGCATTTCAAGTGCTTTAGCTTTGAAAACATCCAGGTGGTTCTACCTGGTAATGGAGGTAAGAGAGTGGCTGCTGAGTGGAACTTGGTGGGGCCTTAGGGCCCATGTAATTCTAAGTACTGTCCTAGGCGTGTGATGAAGTCCCACAAAGGCCCAAACAGCGCATCCGAGGGAAACCAGGGTTCTCACCAAGTTAGTGAAGCAGTGAAGTACCATAGACAGAATGAAAGCAGCATGCTGGCTTTAGTGTTGGAAATAGGAAGTGCAAGAAGTTGTGTAGCAGGTAGCATAAAACACGATCCGTTTTTAAAAAGTAGTAGTATTGTTTACCACTACTTTGTGTTGCATGCATTGACTCTCTTCATAAATATCAAGCACGTCTAATTCAAAGCTGAAGCAATTAAAACATTTTCAAAGAATATGTATGCTTTGAAGAAAGTAGGTATTACTTAAATATTTGTTGGATAAATGAGTGATTGAATGAATAACTCATTCATTTTCATAATACCGATGAATTACGGAACATCGTTCTTATGGGACGTTTATTTATAAAAATCCTCACAACTGTTAAAGAATTTAATAATACTGGCATGTTTTTTTTAAATGTGTTGAAATTGTTTTAAGATGAGGCAGATTTGTTGGAACGTCAGATGACTGAAATCACATGTATATGTTCGGTTCGTGTGTGGGTCCTGATGTTAGAGAAGACTTCTGGGTTTCCAAACAAGCTATTCTTACTGTGGTTGAAATTTTTAAAATAAATGTAATAAATTAACATTTTAGTTATATGGGACCAATTTCAGAGTATCCAGTATGTTGTTTTATTTTACCACTTCTCATAAAAGAGGAGATTGTGAGATTGTGGAGGATGACAAATGTATGTTAAGCATTCAGACGACAGTGCCACTGATTGCTTACTGAGGCGACTCTCCATTCTCTGCATTCACTGTGGGGAGTGTAGTCTTTGGAGACTGTTGCTTTATGGAAGAAGCCAGGCTCCCTGTATTTCTTTAATGTGTGGGAATGACCAGGTTACGTCTCATGCCAATAATGCAGTCCCGAGGAATGGTGAACCACATGCGGTCTGGTAAGCACGGAAGACTTCACCCGAGTTGACCCAGAACGTGGTTCATTAGGGGTGTAGTCAGCAGATGCCTTGTGGTCAGTGGTCAGCAGGCACGGAGGGTCAGCCTTCTCATGAAAATCGCAGCACTACCGCATGGCTTAGGTTGACCTGGGGATTTCACAGTCACCTGGAGAGGAGAAGATGAAAATATGTAGAAACTGGTAGAGATACTGATATTTAAAATCAAGTGTGTGTGTGTGTGTTTACTAAAGTGTCCCAGTCTCAGCTTCTCTCTCCAGTTGGGGCTGGACGCGTGTGATCAACACCAGGCACGCACAAATGCAGGACCTTTGTGGGGGAGGGGGGTCCAAGACCAGGAATCGAGGTCACTAAGGCATTGGTGACTTTAAAACTGGATGTTTTAAAGTGTGTCCCATGTAGGCCATCCCAGGGTGGACGCCGGACGTGATCTGGGGAGTCGGGGCAGTGGGGTGCCCAGGATGGGTGGGGTGCAGCCCACAGAGGTTCTCTGTCCTGGCACCTGGGTTGTGGGACTTTCTAGGTCAAAAGCTGTGGCCGAGAAGAATGCAGCTGTGTAGACAGGAGTACCCATTTTCAACAAACAACTTGGAGAATTTAATTAAGAATCTTTTTTTGTGCCTCTGCAGCTAGGGTCTGGCTTGGGTATTGTGAATGGGAAGGGAAGGGTCGTTTTCTAGTTTAGGGGCCCCGGTGTCACCCAGTGTGTATGCCGGGTTTTCCAGACACGGACCCATTTGTACGCATTATCTTTTCCCATTGTCTCAAAGACTCAGGGGTTTTATTTCCACCTCACTCACGGTAGACCCGGGCTCAGAGCGGCTAAATATTCCCCCAGGATTACACAGATGCTACGTACCAGAGTAGGGCTCAGACCCTCGCAGGCCTGACTTCCACGTTCAGGGTACATGGAAGCTTTTAGTTTGTAGGTAAAGTAAAATTAAAAAAAATTATTTCCAAAATTATTTTATTTGCAAAGCAGACCCAATGATAGGCTGTAGAATATGATGATAGTCTTGAATTTGACTTGACCTTTGAGTTGAATTCTGGTTCCGTCATGATTTTCTTTATGATTCAGACAAAGTGTGTGGTCTCTGTCAGCCTGGGTCTCCTTGTCAGTAAAACGGGGACACACTATCTACAAAGTAGTATATTATTACAAGGTTAAATATGCCTCTCACATGGTATAGACAATGATTTTAATAAGAATTGTGATTCATGCACTTTAAATATTTTAACATTCTTAGAAATATTTATCCTGTTCCTTACTACATATTTTTGTTAAATTTTATGGATTGGTTTAAAAAAACATTTTTAAAAATTTGCAGCTTCAGTTTTATTTTATAGATTACTACATTAGGAATTTCTCTTGTGCACCAGATATTTCTTTTTAAACTTCCAAAGAATATATTGCACGGTAAGTGTTTAACTATTTCAAAAGACCACAGATTTGGAAAATTGTAGTTCAGTTAAAGTATGTTTAAGGAGGATTTTTGTGAGCTCATCAGCAGACTTAACCACCAGTTATAATTCTGTTTCTCTGTTAACATGGTGACACAAAGGGACATTTCATTAAGGAAAAAAGGAAGGAAACTTGAGATCCTAGAGCTGAAATATTGTGACGGACCCTGTGAACAGGAGCCTCCAGGAGGAGGGAGGGGTTAGAGAGAGTCTCGGTGCTGCCGTGCAGCCTGTGCAGAAGCAGGCCCTGGTTCGCGGAGCACCGTGAACTCCTGAAGCCTTGATCCTGAGGAAAATCGGGTCCTAGAATTCTCACTATAAGGACAAAGAATGCAAGGAAACCTCCGCCTCCCATGGGGGACTGTTGTCGTTCCGTGAAAACCAGGTTGGTAGCGATTCTGCCCACTGCTGAGACAGGAGAGTTATGAGTTGTGGAGAGAGAAAATGCAGATTATCGGTAAAAGGAAGGCATTTGGGAATTTGTCACTTAAATGTGGCGCCAGGAGCATGAGCGAGATTCAGTGTCCCTGGTGCCTTAGGTGACAGTATTTTGACAGTTCTGGAAATTAGAGAATTGATTTTACTTTGTCCCAAAGCACAGATTTTTTTTTTTAGTGCTTTCTAAAAAAAAAATTGAGTCGCCCTGCAATGCACTGGTGTTTCTGAGGCCACTGGGGTGAAGTATTCGATTAGGTATCCGAAGATCATTTAATGTGGATCATGTGCAGAGCTGAGGGAAGACGTTCAGACTCCCCGGTGACTGGTTGCACATTCAATTCCTCTGCATGTTTTTGTTGCCCTAGATAACCACTTTATGGGAGAATGTGGGCGTTTTCGATACCAGGCTTTGGAATCTGCAGTTCAATCTTATGTTCCAGGACTGAAGTCTCTGACACAGGATGCAAAATACACATTCACTGCTGTGATTTAAAAGTCAAATTGGTGGATGACATGAGAAAATTGAGGAAAATATGGCAGCTCGTAGGTCCCAGATGCCATGTTATTCTCAAATTTGCAGCGTTCTGAGAACCGGGAAAATATCAAAGTGTTCTAAACAAAAAGTGTGGCCGTTTTATTCCCTCCCTCACAAATCACTTTTCCTTCGCTCTTTTAAAATTCTTACCTTCTGTCAGCCCACAGAGAGGTCAGCTTTGGTAAAATAGCAGAAATGGAAGCAGAACCCTTTCTTTATCACCAAAAATCTTTGACTATTTTTTTGGAGAAAATATTAGCATTGCACTCTTATCTTACTTTTATTTGCTGACTGCATGGCTCTGGCGTGGCACATCTGGAAACTCTCTAACTGCTCCTGACTGCAGTTTCAAATGAGCGACCACCATATGAGCCTTTGGGTGTGAGACTGAATGCCACGTTGCTGAATGACCAGGCCAGAACAGGGTGTCATAATTCTGCCTCGTCTCCCCACCCATAGGATTAAATGACTGAGCAGCAGTGTAATGAGTTGCAACTACAACTCAATGAAAGCTATTTTATTTAACTGTAATTCAAAGTAGGGATAGTCTGCCTTTACCTTATATTACTTACTGTTATTTCTTCTAAAAATATGAACTGTACCAAGCAGACATTGCCGGGGGCTAATGCTCCCTTCAGCCCCGTGCAGTGAGGCAGGCTCTGCAGGGAACCTGCACTGTGGTCCCCTCTCCCCGCCCCGGCGGGCAGCTGCTCTCACCGCTGCTGTCCCTCACGGGGCACGGCCTTCTGTCCCCAAGGAGCCTTCCTCACAAGGCTGCTTCTTACCGTTTTCTCATATCCGCAACACATCCTGCTTATATATAGTTCAGAGAGTTCTTCATAATTCAGAGAATTAATTTACAAAATAGAAGTGCATCTTAGAAGTAAACACATAGCTTTATATTTTTTAAAGAAAGGTTCAAATCCCACCTCTGCCATTTCTAGCTATGTGACCTTGGACAACTCACCTTCATGTTCATATCTATAGAAAAGGAATGCTAATTCCCACTTGAAAAACGTATTGGCAGGGATAAATGAGACAACGGTTTCTTGTAGTTGTTAATGTTAGTCAGCCTGTGCGCTGAACAACTCGAGCCTGGTACGGCCAAGGGAAACGTTTTGACTTCTACCCACCTGCCCAACCTCCGTCCACAACCTCTGTCTACGATTTCACAA